CTTCTTTTTCATGTCTTTGGGGACTAACAATATGCTGCTATGTGAAAATGGTCTTTAAAACTGATAGCAAAATTCCATTTATACAATTTACAGCTTTATTTAAAAAAAACACCAATTCTCCCTGATATTAGGCCTAATGGATTTGGGCTGCAAAACTCCTGATGATAAGTAGAATGTGGGAGAGAGGTAAAATATTATATTTGCTGCCATTTACTGGTCATTCAAATTTGTGCAGCCCAGATTTCACGATTTTACCTAATATGCAATCAAAACAAGCTTATCTGAACAAGCAACTGAATGGGTAAATAATGCAGATGAGAATAATCATAATTTCCTCAGCTGGAAAAGCAATCTGTAAAATTCTGAACATTTAACCACTCTTGTATTACTCTGAATCTATTTATAATCTTCCTGATACTTAGGGAGTGACCATTCCTTTGGCACAAACCAGGACCTAGCTCTGATTAAACACAAACCATAGAGAGTCAAGATGCAAAGAAAATGATAATAATTAAATTATGTTTAAGCCAGTTTAACTAAGCAGGACACAAGCTTTTTTCTGGTGCTAATTTAAGACTTAGCAAAAAAAAAAAAAAATTAGGTTGAAAGCATGCTTGCTTGTGTACCCCAAGAACACAAATTATAATTAAAACAGTTGAATTATAGTTCAACAGTCATTTGATTTCACATAATTCTCGGCTCAGGTCTTGCATTTTGTCCAACACATTAGACCAGCTCATTCAACATTGTCTTAACTGTCTGGAGCAATACTGCTTAATTATTATTCCAGTGGGGGACAGATACGTGAAAAGCTCTCCAATATTTATCAGGTTAAAAAAAATTAATAGCCTCTTGGGATTTTATGAGTATAGGACATAGTCAAGACACTGCAATAAATATTTCTGTCTGGCTCAGTCAGTGAGTCTGCATAGCCATTGCTTCATTTTTACAAAACAAAATTAATGCCAGAAGTGGCGTTGTGTAATCCAGCCGAAAGTAGCAACTGGCTATGAACATTTCAGTGAGTTTAATGACTTTGCTTTTGGTTAGATAGAACTTAATTATATGCCTCTGAACAATCCAAAGCATCACAAATTGTCTTTGATCAAATTGAAATAGCATTACAATAATTATCGGCATAATTAATTAATTAATTCTAAAACATCAGCCCATTTTCTAAAATCCTTTTGAGACAACTGGCTTAATGGCTCAAGTTATCCGTGCTATATAAGTGGCTGTTGGGCTGCTCTTTAGACATTATGCTATTGGCCAGATGTTATTTGGGGTTGAGTAAGATATTAAGAAAACATTTTATCAAACAGCCTGCTGGATACCCCTTATTTATTTCAATCCATTTAAAAGAGATGTGAGAAACTGGATATACTATGACAATTTTAAAGAAAATGCTCTCATGGGCTTGCACAAAAGAAACTATACAATAAGTTTGATATTTTGTGTGAACTGACATTTGTACACGCAGTACATGAATATTAATGCCAGTTCAAACCTAAGTGGAACTGCTCATCTGTGTCAATGTAGCTGGCGAAGAATTATTTTAATTTGGAATTGTAATAGTCTTCCTTCTTGCATTGTCAATGAAAATGCAAATTGGGAATAAATAACTAGAGGTGAATAGAGTTTATTTAGACCTATTATTGCTAAAATGAAATTTGTTATTATTTTCAAATGTATTATTTAACTTGAGTTAGAAGAACTGAACCCATAGGACTGAGTAAGAGTATTAAAAATAAATTTATAATACAATGTGATAAGCTGCTGTTGCTACTATAATTTGATTTATATTTTTATTACAATAGAAGTCTAGATTTAATAATAGAAAGTACTGCATCAGCCTAATCTAACATGCTTCTATATATAGTAACTGCTTAATGAACAACATGGAAAAAGCTGGAAGGGAATTCAATTATTATCCTTTATTCACCTTTTTGTATGATTTAGGCTATAGATTTCAGCACAGGAGGAAAAAGGGAGAAAAACCAGAAACATCAGGTATATAATCCTAATTGTGTAACTTTGAAGATAAATTGCACAAACAATGTGGTAGCATCCGAAAACTTAAGCTAAATTATATCCATATTGCATCTCATCAGCTATGCAGTTCTAGAAACCCATAAAGAAAATCCTGGGTCAATATGACCTCTACAGCTTAAGGGAGACATGAAAAATAACAAATGTTTGGAGCAGCAGTGAAAAAGATAAAGCAACAAGTGTTATATCCGGAGCACCATACAGGCAGATTAATTTGTGTTTCAGTGGTCACACTACAGAGCCTGCTGCCAAGCTCATTGCTCTGATTTAATTCCATGGTGTCAGTTTCTAAGAGCCAGTAAAATATTTATACACACGCACACACACAACTGAGGAGGAAAGGAAGTAGCTGAGACCAATCTAACCAGGCCCTTCTTCCCACTCATCGTCAAACATCTCAAGCAACAGCGTTTTATAGCCAAGCAGTCTAAATTCCTGTTGGAGCTCCCTAGAGTGTTATGAACTTTGTTCTGTGAAATAATTGGACACACTTGCTTTCAAACCAAGAAGAAAACCTTCACAGATCCAAGAGATTAATCACATGTGGCTAAGCCATTAGAGATACAGTGCTGGAAATGAAGAATCAAATCAGTTTACAGGCATAATGGCCAAACTGGCTAAAAGGCAGTGATTCTGATTTTTTCCCTATAGCTTTGGCAAAATATTCTTAAATATTTAGGCCATAAATTTATAATCTATATTTCTTCCGCTATATACATATTTGAAGCCCATCTATGACATTACTGACCAGCATGGATGAGTCAATTTTGTTATTTTGCCCTAAGAACTTTGAAAAGGATCAAGTAAATCATACAGCAGTATGTAGTAAGGATTCTAAAAGTCACAACAAGGAGACATAAGGGCTCTTATATTTATCATCTCTCTTATAGTTAATATTTTATCTTTCTCAGGGAATGGCTTAAGACATTCCCTGTCCTTTACCCAAAACATAAACATATGGAGTTTCTCACTCCATATACAAAAGTCAACTGGACTGTCAGTTGAATAATCTGTTTTGCTATATCTATTTAGGGGTTCAGGTAATGTATATACTGTATATCTTTCATCCAACAAAACATCCTAGGAGATCAATAGGAGCCATTGGGAGGCACCATTCATCTTTCCCAACATCAACTGCCTTAAATAATTGCTTCATTCAATCTTCACAATATGGCCAGTCTTGATTTAGACTGGTCTTATGTATATTTGGAGCAGGACAGCTCCATCTCTGAAGAGACTCCTTGTCCCCTATGATGAGCTCTTTGTCCCAGTCTATGAACTGCAGGAAAGGCAGAAAACAGTAACATTCATGCAGTCTTACCTTTAAAAAATCCTTAATATAGATCGGGACCATATAACTTACTAAGCAAAAAGATAGTTTGCTTATTTATAAAGTGAATTGATAATTTGTGGGCCTTACGGCAAGTCTTTAACTTGCCAAACCTTTCCAAATTAAAAAAATATGTTTTTGTTTTATGCCCATGCTGGGAATTCTGGGCATAGGTCCAACTTTTATGTTTGTGAACTAATTGCAATTTATTTGATCAACTATGGATAAGCAAACCATAGCTTATTGTGCTACATCAGGGGTGTCAAACTGCCGGCCCGCGGGCTGGATGCATCATAGTGAAACTGCACCCACCCCATTGCCGGCAATGGAAAAAAAGTCGCAACACGTAGCGACACGTCTCATGACGTTGCGAGTTTGATACCTCTGTGCCACATGAACACAGCAACTGTCAGGTGCAAACAAGCAGATCCACATGTGTAGTGTTCAGACTAGCTACTTTATTGTTCTCTGCCTATTACAGAGGATTCTCCTCATACTGGCAGTTTTAGCCTGGCAACAACCAGATAAGGCTCACAAGCAGCGGCCCCCAACTTTTTGGGCACCAGGGACTGGTTCCATGGAGAGACGTTATTCCACAGACTGGAGGGGGCATGGTTTCATGTTCTGCCTCTATCCTGCAGATGGGGCTTCGCTTGCTTGCACAGCCCAGTTTCTGGCATGCTGCAGGCCAGTGCCAGTCCACAGACCAGAGGTTGGGTACCCCTACTCTAAGGCATTTAAGGAGGGTCAAACCTAGCCCTCTTTTATTTAAAGCAAGTGCAGGCTGATTCCTCTCTTGAGCCCATTTCCCAACCAAGATAGTTGCTCTCCAAAAGCAACTGTATCATAATATCAGCTCCTAAAGATCTGCATTGGCCCATCCAAAGTGGCTTGCTGCGAGTATTATGAAGAATGTAAAATATGGTTCCTATAGTTGTTTAGCATCCCTTGGATCAAAAACTGCTAAAATGTTGTCCAAGTTAATCTTTAGTGGAGGATCTTGCTCACTCAGTCCCATCATATACTTATATCCAATTATATGGGCAAGGAACTGAAGCCTTAGGTATACTGATGAACAAAACAGTTGCAGAGTTTATTGTATTTCTAGATCATTGTTAATTTATATTTTGATTTTCCTTGCCATTCTTCATGCAAATAGAATTACTCTGACAAGCAGAGGCAAGGTCACGAGAGAGCACAAAGGCAGATTGTAGGCCAATCGCAAGCAATTGCTAATAGCCAAACTGGTGGTCTGGTTTATGTGATGCTATTAGCCTGACATTTGGAAGGATTATTTTTTTAACCCATTCAATTTTAGATAAATAGAATTGCAAAGAAAAAACATCTTTTGTGAAAAATAATGTGAATTTAGTCAGGATCAAACTTTTGTTTGCTCTTTGGTTAGATTTAATTTTATCATGCAAATATAATGGGATCTACAGAGGTTAATTTTTTTCTTTCCGATATTGCATTCAGCTGTGCATGAAAACCATAAACTTATAATGTGCATGAGGATTGCATTAATTTAGAGTTTAATTGGAAATGCTGAATTTGATAACTTATAAACTAAAGTCTTTAAATGTATTTCTTTTCAATCTTACACTTGTTTCTCTTTCTACAGACAAAAGAAAAAACTAATACGAACTGTCAACCCAGGGCCTATATAAATACAAAAAAATAGGCATGGGACTGCTTGATCAAGTCAACAGTACCATCATCTTGGATGAGCATATATTAGAGAAGAAGTCACCATCTCGCTGGCATGCAGACAGTCTTGTCACCCCCAGTCAGGGATTTCAAGATGGATCCAGTGAACTTATAATGGATAGCACCAAGATCTTGGGAGTCCAAATCATACTGATAATGGCTTATTCTCTCATCATTCTGCTGGGATTCATTGGCAACTCCTTGGTCATCTACATGATAGTGAGATACAAAACCATGAGGACTGTAACAAACTTTTTCATAGCTAACTTAGCTCTGGCAGATTTAATGGTGGATACTTGCTTGCCCTTTACTTTGGCTTATACTCTGCTGGATGAATGGAAGTTTGGGGCTGTACTTTGTCATTTGGTGTCCTCTGCTCAAGCTTTATGTGTTCATGTATCTATTCTCACGTTAACTGTGATTGCCCTGGATAGGTACAGATGTATTGTTTTTCATTTAGACAGTAGAATATCCAAGAAAATCAGTTTCACCATCATAGCAATTACATGGCTGGTTGCTGCTCTCCTAGCTAGTCCACTGGCTATCTTTCGAGAATACAGATATGAAGAAATTCCATCCATCAACCTCAGAATAGTTGTCTGCTCAGAGAAATGGCCTTCTGACAACAGAGATGCCACTATATACAGCTTATCCATGCTCATCCTGCAATATGTCTTCCCTCTTTCTATCATCTGTTATGCCTACATCAGGATATGGTTCAAACTGAGAAGCCACATTAGTCCTTCTGCTAGAAATGATACTCACTGTCGCAGGAAAAAAACCACAAAGATGCTTTTCATGGTCGTTGTGGTGTTTGCCGTCTCTTGGCTACCCTTCCATGCTTTCCAGCTCGCTGCAGACTTAGGTATGGCACTTGCCCTCCATGACTATAAACTCCTTTATACAGTATTTCATGTCATAGCCATGTGTTCCACTTTTGCAAACCCCTTGCTCTATGGCTGGATGAATAAGAACTACCGCAATGGATTCCTTATGTTCTTCCGCTGTCAGAAAAAACCAGAGAGACTCTATGCAGAGGGATCAATTCGGGGGAGGTCTTGCACTTTCAAGGCTACTACCTTGAATGGGAGCATCAAACAGTCAACAGGTGATGGACAGCTACCAACACCAGTTTAGTTTATAGCAGCTTCATCTCCACACAGGCCTGAGTCTCAGCGTTGCCCACCTAAAACTGTTGATGTTTTTTTCTAAAAATAAAAATGAATTGAATTGCCAAAATGCTGTCATTGTCACAGTTAGATGAAAGCACCTTATCTATCGGTCTGTCATGCCTTGTGTATGATCTATTCTGCTTTCCCAAGTTAAACAATCCTTGCCTCCAATTTTTATTTCTTGTTGCAAGAAGCAGGAATCATGTCATTCCATTATGCTTTAATTTATGAGAATTTAGTTCTACTGCTATTTGAAGGACAGGAGAAGTAGCAGACAGGATTATTTCACTGCTTTAGGCAGAGGGAATGAAGGTATTTGCAACAATATTGACAAACCACAGGATCCAATGGCACTCATTAAATACATGGTGTTTATTTTAATTTCCTGTAGATTTTTTGCACTCCTCATATCAAAGATCTACCTTAGCATCCCAATCAGAATTTTAGGAAGTACATTATTATAGTTATAGGTCAGCAAAAGAATGTGAATGAAAAAGATGTATAGCACACGGGTTCTGTGGAAAGTTAGTTCTAAAGTAATTAGTACTAACTTCTCAAATTATTAAAAAAGGCCAAATTTGCTTTTTGATTTCCAGCAGAAAAAATTGACTCTAAATGTTTTTAAGCTAATAGCTGTTCATAGTGAGATCCACACTGCACTCCATAATCATTTTTTTGCATTTCATTCACTGGTTAAAGTGATTGTTAAATCTTATTCTTTAATAAGTAAATATTTATTTTGGGGGTTGAAATTCCTGTTCTTCTTGGCTGTTGTGAATATTTCATATTATGAGGTTGCTTTCTTACCTTTCCTGTTTGGAGGATTCTAAGATGTCATTCATATCCTTCATTCTTGGTTAAGTGTCTTATTGCAAAGAAACATGTCCTATAATATTTATGTCCACCTACTTGACCAGTTCAGATTCTGCATATATAGAAGAACAGGTTTTCCTTGTCCTGAATTCTCAGTTCTTCTAGTGTTCAAAGTAAAAATCAGGATAACTCCAGGTGGAAAGTAGAGTAGCTGCAAAGAGCAAAAGTGAGTACTGCGGCACTCAGCAAAGCACTCTCTCTAACTGAAAATTATGTCATACATTGCCAACACGTACCAGTTCTACCATTGCTCCAGGTGATCTAGAATTGCTCAGAAATGCTATGGAATATTGATATCTTTGACAATGGTGTTTGCTCTGGCTCCTAGTATGTAAATGAAATCTTCATTAGCTAAGGGAAAGCAATGGAGCCAAAAGGGTTATAATGGGATTAGATGTGTAATGGATAACTATGTCATCATGATAACCATCACAAATTTCTGCTGCCAATGTACATTAAAAGATCTATCTGGAAGGAACCTTGGAGTCTTTTCTTTCTTGGATCATGAATATTACTCTATCTATGACTATCTAGACACATGATCTTCCACCTGGTGCAGAGTTTGTCTCCCAGTTGATATCATGTTAATTAAAGTCCCCCATTACTATTGTGATGTGCTTCCTACATACCTTAGTTAGCAGACTAGCAAAAAGTTCATCTATTTCCTCTGTTTGGTTGGGTGGCCTATAGTATACACCTATGGCAATGTCATTTTCCCCCCCTTTTATATTGACCCAAATGCATTCAAGACAGTTTTCATCATTGTTGTGCTCCATTTCTGTAGAGATATAGTTATTTATTATATAGAGAGCAACTCCACCTCCTCTTTTGTTTGGTCTGTTTCTTTTAAACAATTTAAATCCCTCTAGCTGTGTGTTCCATTTGTGGGTTTCATCCCACCAAACATGAGTTTGTCTTTTAACATATAAAATACTAAAACATTTCATGATAACTTCTAAAGTCATTTCCCTTTTTTGACCAGAGAAGAGAGAGAGGGGGGGGAGGGGGACAGGGGGAGGGAGGGAGGGAGGGAGGGAGGGAGAGAGAGAGAGAGATATATGCAAGAGATGCAAAATATACCATGAAGTAATATTTCATAAATACGTTTTGTGCATGAAGAAGATACATAATTGGGGCAATGTAAGTTGTAGCATATAGGTCATGATGTCATTTATTTATTTATTTATGAGACTTATATACCGCTTTAAGTGCAAGCACTCTCTAAGCGGTGTACACCAGTAAGCAATGTATATATATATTTACATTGCCCCCAACAATCTGGGTCCTCATTTTACCTACCTCGGAAGGATAGAAGGCTGAGTCAACCTTGAGCAGGTGAGATTTGAACCGCTGACCTGCTGAACACAGTCAGCTAAAGTGGCCTGCAGTACTGCACTCTAACTGCTGCGCCACCTCGGCTCTTAATGATCATGATCCAGTCATGATCCAGACTTCCCCCTATGTCCCCTCTGCAGAGGCCCATGCTTGTATGAGTGGCGGTAGCTTCAAGCAAATTGCACATTACTTTCCGTGTATGTGAACTGACTGCAGATCTACCATATCCCAAAAGAAAACTATTTAAGAAGGATCGGTTGCAGATCATGTGGAGTTGGAAGGTGATTCTTTTTCTGGAAGTAGTTTTTCTTCCCCATTGTGGTTTCCAACAAATACAATCAGGTGGCCTCTCCAGAGGTGCGCGCACACACACACACATACACACACACATAAGAGATGATGTGAGAGAACTCCATCAAAGTCTCCCCTTTTATAACTAAGAAAATGGGCTGAGGTGTCAATAATTTGTGAGCAAATTGTGAGAAGAAGAACACTTTCCACTCATCCCCCCCCCCCATTACTAGTTTTTAGAGGCATGCTATTTCTGATCTGGCAAGTAAGATATTTGTGCCCATATAGGCAGCAGGGAAAAAAGTAAAGAAAACAGTGCTGCGTCCATTTGCTTTAACAGAGGAATCCCAGGAAATCTTTCTTCTCACTGATTGTAGCCAGGAGAGGATCCCCTTGAACACACACACACACACACACACACACACACACACACACACAACCCCCAAAGCTCTACAAACTCTGGTGCAAAAGAGAATTAAAGAGCGAGAGTGATCAGAGAAAAGATGGTGATAATCAAATTTTTCAGCACAGTTATTTCTTGGTATGATATGACGGTGATGCATTCAAAACCTTTGAATTCCATATGATAATGGGAAGATGAGATATGTCAACAACATACCCATCTACATCCTTTAGTAATTAATCTGTTTTACCTTTGAATCTGTCATGAACCTCTTGTATCACCACCACATATCCAAACTGTCACTGTGTATGGAAATATGGTGCAACACTTTTAACCAGTTTATATTTTCAAGACAATAAGGAAGCTGAAGGTATCAAATAGTGGCTTAAGCAAACCAAGACCTGTTTGACAGAAGAGATTGTAGAAGGAGAAGGAAAGCTCTGACCAGGCTTCTCTCTGTCCTGAGCCAGTGGTGGGATTCAGCCGGTTTGCACCACTTTGGCAGAACCGGTAGCTAATTTTGTGTTGCCCAGGCCCAGAAGGGACTTCCGGAAGTGGCATCCACACAGAGAACCGGTTGTTCACACATTTGAATCCCACCACTGTCCTTAGCTATTATCTGTAGCATGATCGAAAGAATATTGAAATGTGCAATGGTAAGTAGAGCAGTAAAGGAGAATATTTGTTGCTCAGGGTTGAAATGAGACATTTCATTACCCAAACTAGGTGACATCATCAGTGCTGAGCAAGTACAGCATTTTCATCCAAATGATGTAATAACTTGTCATCTTCTTTTGATCTTAGTCCACTCAACATTCCTGAATATAGGAAAATTGGAGATTCTTTTCCTTATTTTCTAAAAAGCTCCACATTCAAAAAAAGAACTCTGAACTCCTTGGTTCTTTCTGAGCCTGATTGTTTGCTTGCAGATGTTTTATTATCCAATTAACAATCCTGAGCTACCTATATTCTCTTCTATTGATTCAAAAAAGACCCAAATAAAACTACTCATGAGTTAGATGTATAGGTCTAAGTTTTAAATGCAGAACTTTCCTCAGAAATAATCAGTAACTGTTGATGGAATGGTCTGATTGTATTGGGATCCTTTTCCCAGTCTCAATCTAAGAGTCTATGCCAGGGGTCCCCAACCCCTGATCTGTGGACCAGTACTAGGCCACGGCATGCCAGCAACCGGTCTGCACAAACAAGCAAAGCCCCATCTGCGGGATGCAGGCAGCACACAAAACCACGCACCCTCCGGTCCATGGAAAAACCTCTCTCCAGTCCCTGGTGCCCAAAAGGTTGAGGACCTCTGGTCTAGGCCACCTGTAATTCTGAGATGGGAGGGAGGATTAGCTGAGGAGAAGAAATCTTGAAGCCTCAGGGATGGATGCAACTTTCCAAGTTAGACAACACTATTACAATTGATATTATCTTTGCTTTCTCTTGCCACGGTTCTACTTCTATTTGCAAATATTTTGTGATTTTTCTCTAGTTCTTTCTCTTTTACTCTGCTATTTCCAGATACTGTCACATCCAAACTGACTCTTTCATTAGAATCTACCATGTTGGAATTTACAATAAATCCATTATTCTGTCTCTTGCATTCTGGAACAAGAAACAACAGGTCTTGAACTTCTTCTGTGTTATTTCCTTTCCAGGTATCAGAAAAATGCTACTGTATCACCCTGCTCTTTTTCTTTTTTAGTCTAAGCATTTTTAATTCTGTCCTCCTCACGTGACTTATTTTTTAAAATTCTGTCACATGCTATCATAATCAATCCATTGAATGGAAGATAGAAACCATTTGGTTCAATATATCTAAATTAAATAGACTATATATCTAAATTAAGAAACAACACATTTTTAAAAGAAATAGTTATGGATACTTTTGAATATTTCATAATAACTCAGAGCTATAGGCAGTAGTGGAATTCAAATATGTGAACAACCAGTTCTCTATGTGGATGCCACTTCCGGAAGTCCATTCTGGGCCTGGGCAACAAAAAATTAGCTACTGGTTCTGCTGAACTGGTGCAAACTGGCTGAATCCCACTACTGGCTATAGGTTTGGGTTAAGGTGCTCTAGTTCCCCATGATAGTGTAGCAGCACTGGAACTTACTAGCCACTGACTGATTTGTATTATAACTCTTAATATAGTTTCCTTGAGTTTAAGTGATTGACTTTGTGGATGAGTCCAAATGATTTTCTGGGCAACAATAAGAAGCAGTTTGCAACTTCTTTCCAGATTTTTTTATGTTTTATTTCAGGAGCCAGAAATAAGCATAAGCCCCCACTCATCCCATGAGACAACTTTGTAATTAGATTCATCCAAGAAAAAGAGCATAAAAATAACCTATATTGCTTTTTAAACATCATGTGAAACAAAAAAAAGCCTATTTTTAACTTCTGCCATCAAAAGATGCGTGATTGCTGCAGCAGTCTTAAAAGCTTGTCATTTGGGTGCTATGCTGCTTGCATTTATCTGGATAAAATTCAGTAAAATGATCTGACATATGTCCTCATAAAAAGGTTTAGAAAATTGATGGCAACAAGCCATACTTGGCCTTCGCCTAGTGGTGTCTGCATTGTGCAATCCAAAAAAGTCCAGATGGAAGCCATAGTGATGTGATCAAAGCTCTTCCTGTTTTTCTGTGTATCTCTCTGGACTTGCAAATTTATAGGGCCACAAGTACAGGTAGTCCTCAACTTATGCCCACAATTGAGCCCAAATTTTCTGTTGTTAAGTGAGACATTTGTTAAGTGAGTTTTGTCCCATTTTACTTGCCACAGTTGTTAAGTGAATCACTGCAGTTGTTAAGTCAGCAAACCCAGCTGTTAGGTGAATCTGGTGAACTTGGCTTCCCCAGTGACTTTGCTTGTTAGAAGGTCACTAAAGAGAATCACGTGACTCCGGGACACCGCAACCATCACAAATATGAACCAGTTGTCAAGCATCCAAATTTTGATCACATGACCACGGGGATGCTGCAAAGGTTGTAACTGTGAAAAACAGCCATAAGTCACTTTTTTCAGTGCTGTTGTAACTTTGAACCATCACTAAATGAACTGTTGTAAGTCGAGGACTACCTGGATGTGCATCTTTGGGTCTACCTATTATAGCCTTGCATGAGCAACATGCTGCCTTTAAAGTTGGTTCTGTGACAAATTTGTGCAGTTTGGATTTGACCTCTCCGTGAGAATTTTAGTACTTGCCTCTCCATCGCACACTGCATCATTCAAAACTTCTCCGCTTGTTTGTTTATAGCCATGGATCATTGTTTGCATGACTCAGATACTGAAGGGTTAATTGCTTTGGCCTTTCTCATTTTCTGTAGGATTGATTTTATGTTATTAAAGTTGAGCCAGGCTGCTGTTCTTTAGCCTTTTA